TTTATAGATTTAATGAAATGACAGAAATGTAAGGAAAAATTGAAAGACAGCGTTATATCACCCATGTATCATTCAATTACATATTTTCAAAAAACAATTTATAATGTGTACAAATAAAAAAGTTTTGATCACAAAATATTTCTACTTACTTAATGAATTAATGATATGTTAATTATTATTATTATTTATTGTTCCTAATACTCGTCTTCGATTCATGTCATTGTAGAATCGTACCCTCCTCCGCAGACATCTCTTCTTTTTTTCTTCCTTTAATTTGTATATTTGTTCCCAGTCTTCTAGAGAGAGAGTATGAGAGATGCCCGCGGAGGAGGCTTGCTCAATATATTTTGAGCGTATCCTCTTCCTGAAGATACTTGAATAGGTCATAAATATTAATGAGGTCCCGTATCCAGCTTTGAAGAGCTTCGTTTTGTGACGTCAGTCGTGAGGTTTTACATCGAGGATTAGCATGAAAGCAGCTTTGACAGCCCTGGATAAAATCATATAAAACTAGCCTCATTCGCAGGCTACTCCAACGGAAACGGACATTTTTCTCTTCTTGGTCTTCCTGTGTTCATAATCTTGACCGAGAAGAACTGGTGCCTTAACACAGGAATCCCACAGATTAGAGTTGCCGGCGAAAGGAGCCTAATAAAACATGCCAAAGAAAGTTGCAGTTGTTGGTGGAGGGATATCTGGACTTGCTGCAGCCGCATCACTAGTTGACCAAGGCTTTGACGTTCATTTGCTAGAGGCTTCAGATTACTTTGGTAATTTTTGGAAAAAGTTTATATATGATAATTAAACAGTTAACTTAACGTCAAAAAAATAATCAAGTCAATCAATCTGTAAAAATTGGGTATAAAAGAAGTATGACTGTATATTCTCTAAAGGGGGTTATCTGCCAATGTCCACGAAGCATATCCCTTTCCCTAAGCTTTTGCTTAATGTTTGAAAATAAAAATACAGACAAATACTTTATAATTTATATAGACAAAAATTTCCACAAAATTATTTCAAAACTATTTCTCTCAGCCTGTTTTTAAATAATCGCTTTGTGGTAAATAGAGTCACAGGCTGAGAGAATATTATTTATTTTGTGGAAATGGCAGAAAACCCTCACTGATAATGGACTGGAGATCAAAGAACACTCCATACAGTCTTTTTTCATTGTCATTTTCTTATCATTTTCATTAGGAGGAAGACTCAAACAAGTGGATATATTTCCAGGATTTCCACCGATTGATCTTGGAGGGGATTTTATTCATGGTTCAACCAATATAATACATCAGCTTGCAAAGGAAAATGAATGGGAAGTAAAAAAGGTCACTGCATCTGCATATTTGATTTGGTGCATTGTAAACATTCATAATTACAATTTGATGCACTGCCAATGTTTGTACATAATACTGCATTTTTTTTTTTTTTTTTTTTTTCATTTTTATCATTTCAATTCTGGTCAGAGTCTTCCTGGTCTTATATATCCTGTAGTTGGTCTCCCTGAAAGTAATTGCATGTACATATTGTTTCCATGCCATTGTTACATTTAAGGAATAAAAAACAGTTTTCCGTGTATTATATATACTCTGATAAAAACACACGGGATGTGGGGAGAACACGAGAGAAGCTTCTTGAGTGTTCTCTCCACATCCCAAGTGTTTTTATCAGAGTATAATACACAGAAAACTATTTTATTGCTTTTATAAAAAAAATAAATAACAAGCGCTCAAATATTCATGAGAAAAAAAAGCMGAGAAAAAAATGACGCAAGTGTGCATTATGCTCTCATCAAACACGGCTTTTTGGCCAATCAGAGCGTGCGTAATATGAAAGTTATTTTATAAATATTCTTGCTGACTTTTTGGCAGGCACATAGGTGTCAAGGAGATGAGGCACCAAAGGCTTCATGCATCTACATTGAGGGAAAATTGTATACAGAGGATGAAAAAGATCATCCTGACGTCTTTGCTGCAAAAAAAGCATTTGATGACATCTTTTTACTGATAGAGGAGTATTTATCTAACTCCAAAGGAAATGACAACAAGGAAGTTAGTACTGGTCAAGTGAGGTATGATGTTTGTCATCATTAGCATGATTATGATGATATAATGATCATTAAAGATTAAAAATTCATTATAGCAYGGTCTCAAATGCTTTTTACAATGACAAAACCAAATAATCATAATATAAACTGTTATACTAAACATTATTAGATCAAAATAATAATAAAACTTATAAAAAGTTATTAAGTGAAAATTGAATTTTATTTATAGGAATGAAGATCAAATCTCTGGAATCAGTTTACATACTTGGCTTCAGCAAAAAGGGYTTAATCAAAAAACAATTGAAATAGCAGATTCTCATTGCTGTCAATCACATGGAGGAACACTTGATTCTATGGGTCTCTTAGAAACAGGGYTTAACRATGTCCTATGGGAAAGTGGCACAGGGAATTTCAGGTACTTTAATATGCTTGTTTGACATCCAATCTAAATGCTAAGCCTTTCCATCTAATGAAGAAAAAAGAGCTTGGAATTGAGTTGCTCAGTATATTAGCAAACTTAYAAACCTTTCACTGGCYTCCTTCSCAKGCATCTCTTCCTTTCTAAAACAAAGYGGGCTTCCTGTGTTGGATCAGTAAGACAGGRGGCTAGTAATGAGTCCCCACTTTTCCCTATTTATTCCACCAGAGTTAGTAACTACTWA